GCAGAGTGGTGTGTCCTCTCCTGGCAGGGTCGGAGGGCGCCGGCTGCAGAGCGAGACCTCAGACCATCGTGCAGGCCAGATGGAGCCGAGTGGTGCATCCTGCACCCTCCCTGCAGGAGGCAAGCTGGGGTCCACAGTCTGTCTGCTGGAGCACACATCCCCTTCGGATCTGGCCCCTGTGCAGTGGCTTCCAGCCTCTGGTTTGGCAGTGTGGCCTTGTCCACTTCGGCTCCCACGGCCTCCCACCTCATGCACCCGCCCTATGGGGGCCTCTGAATTTCTGCCCAAAGCAGTAGTTCTCAGAGCTGGAGCTCCCAGAGCTGTCTCTGCCCCGGTCAGGCTGTCCAAGCCCTGGGACAACCACAGCCACCAGAGGGTCAGGGCGTTAATGCTGGAGCTCCTGCCCTACCCGATGGCCCTGAGGCCCATCCCACGCAGGTCCACAGAGAGCACACGGCAGGGCTTAGAGCCTGGTGGGCTCCTTGCCCGGCTCTCCTGGGCCACACCCGTTGGAGCCAGCTACACTCTGTCCTCCTCTCAGGTGCTGTCCCTGGATTCTGAATAAAGACAATGGGGTTTGAACGGCGAACAATGATGGAAGAAGGTGTGACAAGCCAGAAGGAAGTAGGTGGGCCCTGTGGCAGTGCAAAGCAGGCCCGACTAAGAACAGCCTCTTGACCGGAACTCATAGGATAGCACCAGGAGGGTGAGGAGCGCAGGTGCAGAGCGAGGCTCTCCAGGGAAAGGCGGCAGGCAGAGGTGGGGTGTGGCGGGGCTGGGAAGACATGGGCCAGCCTGGCTGTTCATCCTGGCTGTTGTATCAGAATTCTCCAGAAAGGCAGAATCATAGGCGACAGATAAACAGGGAGGCAGACGGACAGGTTTATTATGGGATTGCTTCGTGTGACTATAGACCGAGAGGTCCCACCGCCCACACTCTGTAAGTGGGAGGCCAGGAAGGCTGGCGCTGAGCTGACTTCATGCCCAGCAGGCGAGTGTCCACGGGCAGAAGGTAGATGTCCCTGCTCAGACAGGGCAGGCTTCCCTTCCTCCACCCTATGTCATTTGCACCTCAGAGGACTGAGTGGTGCCAGCTGCATTACTCGGTCTACTGTTCCCACTGCAAACTCTTCTGGAAGCATCCTTAGGCACGCTCAGAAGTAACGCTTTCCTAGCTGTGTGGGCATCTGGGAGCTCAGTCAGGTTGACATGTACAATGAACCATCGCAGCTGCCCTTTAGAATTGACTGGGGTCGTTATAAAATTCCAGCGTCTGGCCAGCTGGAGTTGGCCCCGAATACACGCCCCTCCGCCTCCAGAGGAGCCAGCCCTGCGGACACCTGATGTGGGTCTCTGGCCTCCAGCGCTGAGGGGGACATGTCTGTTGTTCAAAGGCGCTCTCTGAACATCGGCGACGAGAGCCCTAAGAAACAATTGCAGTGAGACCTTGCTTTTCTGTTTACCAGTGGTAGAGTGTCTCTCTTATTTTTACACTTATTTACTTACTTTTGAGAGGTATTTGCCTTAGGGCATGTACACTCACTGGAGAGACACAGAGTGGCAAAGTGAGAAATCACCCCCCAGGGGCATGACCACACCACAATCCCTTCTCCTCCATCTCCTCTGGGGATTTTTTTTTTTTTTTGAGAGGTTTCGCTATAGGGCGTGTGCACTCGCCAGACAGACAGAGAGAGACAGAAAGCGGGAAATCACCCCCTGGGGGTTGTCCATGCTGCAATCCCTTCTCCTCCATTCTCCTCTCGGGATCTTGGGCATGCACGCACTCGCACCCGGTGTGAGTTTTAAGCCACCGGGTCCAGGATGCAAACCACGGTCAACTACGTGGAAGTCCAGCGACATAGCCATCACGCCAACTGCTGGTCCCTCCTCTCGGGATTTTGAGCATGCATGCACATGCAACCCATGAACTTCAAGCCACCGGGTCCGGCTTTCGAACCACAATTGACCATTTGGGAGTCCAGCACCTGTTGGCCCTGGTCTCTCTCTTAAATAAACTGAATGTAAAGGTAAGTTAAGGATCAAGGAGAGAGTTTGGGTCTTGGTGGGCACCGCTAAGTGTTCAGAGAAACTCAGGCTGAGCCAGGAGGCACCTGGCGCCGGTTGGGGAGTGGGCTAGGCTAAGGGGCCAGGTTCTGCCCAGGAGCCCAGGTGACCACGGGGAGGGAGGACGAGGCAGCCCAGGCTGGGAGCTGGGAGCGAGCAGACTGGAGCAAAGACCATCGCACGGGCCCCTCGTGGACGGGTTCCCGGGAAGCCCCACATGTGCCCAGTTTGATGACTCAGAACCCATCTTCCTTTTAAGGGTTTTTTCCCCATTGCGCTGAAGTGCCACGAAGAAGCTGGACAGGAGGGGAAGGGGCTTTCCAGCAGGCGGGTGGCTGGGAACCGGTCTTCCCCTCGCGTCGAGGATCTGCGGCCACTCGGACACCACCCCTGCCCTCACTTGCCTCTCACTGCTGGGCACATAGCCCGGACACACGGTACCAGGTCTCGGCTCCTGGTTCCCCTTGGGTGAGCACCCCCGCCGCCGGCCCGGTGATTCAGAGCAGGTCACGTCCAGCCGGAGTGGGGCACATACATGATCTGGAAGAACTGGAGGCCTAGAGACCCAAGGTCCGAGGCTGGGCTGGGCAGGCTGCGCACGGTAGCTGTCACTGGGTGTGTTGCCACCAAGAGCCCCTGCAGGCCCCGCCCACAGGCCCCTGACACAGCCCCTCGGTCCCTGTTCTTCTTCTCTTCACTTAGACAAGGGACCTGGCAAGGCCGTACACTGGCCAGATGCACAGCGCTGCATCACTAGTGAGGTGTTGCTGGGCTACTTTTGGAGAGCGTGTTGTAGCCAGCGCCTTCAGATCTGTGCCTTGTCCGTAGAGACAACGGCGACCCGTGGTGTTTACTGCAGGGGACGGAACACCTTGGGAGGAACTCCAGCGGGAGTTCAAATCAGGCATCATCCGTCTCCAGATTCCACCTCCCAAAGAAAAGGTGGGCTTTTTCTCTAAGAGCTTGGAAGGCAGAGAAAGGCCGCCCTTGCCTAGCACCGAGCCCCTGCTGGCCCGCCAGAGTCTTCTCAGGGGCTGGCTGATTGGTCCGGGTCTGGGTCTGGGTCTGAGTGGACCATTCCAGAGGACCCCACCACTGTCTGCTGTGCATGGCCACTGCACCTCCTTCCCGGTAGCACCCGGATTTCAGGGCAGTGTGGTTAGGCCCCAGGCAGGCCGCCCGGGGCCTCCAGCAGGTGCCGAGCCCCATGGGGTCTGCTTCCTGACCTGTGGGACTGGGACGCCCTGCTGTGGGGAAGCTCTGTGGCAGCTGTCCCTGTCTCTCCACCCCAAGCCTGGCCCGGGGCTTGGAGACTTGGGGTGGGAAGGGAGGTGGCTGAATCCCATAGCTGCTGTCCCCTGGTCCTGCCCACCGTGTGGCCATCTCCCACCTCCAGGGTATGCTCCAGTAAGAGATCTGTGCCTTGTCCGTAGAGACAACGGCGACCCGTGGTGTTTACTGCAGGGGACGGAACACCTTGGGAGGAACTCCAGCGGGAGTTCAAATCAGGCATCATCCGTCTCCAGATTCCACCTCCCAAAGAAAAGGTGGGCTTTTTCTCTAAGAGCTTGGAAGGCAGAGAAAGGCCGCCCTTGCCTAGCACCGAGCCCCTGCTGGCCCGCCAGAGTCTTCTCAGGGGCTGGCTGATTGGTCCGGGTCTGGGTCTGGGTCTGAGTGGACCATTCCAGAGGACCCCACCACTGTCTGCTGTGCATGGCCACTGCACCTCCTTCCCGGTAGCACCCGGATTTCAGGGCAGTGTGGTTAGGCCCCAGGCAGGCCGCCCGGGGCCTCCAGCAGGTGCCGAGCCCCATGGGGTCTGCTTCCTGACCTGTGGGACTGGGACGCCCTGCTGTGGGGAAGCTCTGTGGCAGCTGTCCCTGTCTCTCCACCCCAAGCCTGGCCCGGGGCTTGGAGACTTGGGGTGGGAAGGGAGGTGGCTGAATCCCATAGCTGCTGTCCCCTGGTCCTGCCCACCGTGTGGCCATCTCCCACCTCCAGGGTATGCTCCAGTAAGACCCTTTTGAAAGACGGAAGTCACCGAGTCGTGTAAACGCCCACGAGCCCGCGAGGCAGGGCTGCCGTGGGCATGGAGTCAGCTGCTGGTGGGGCCCTGGCCCAGCATCCAATCCTAGTGGACGTGGCCTGCAGCAGGGACCTGACCCAAGCCTCTGGAGGGCCAGGCTCGAGGTGGTGTAAGGGACTGAACTGACAGAACAGGCTGGGTGGGAAGGGGCTTCCGGCTGCGGTGTGGGCCTGGGCTCTGCAGCCGCCTCTTGGCATCACCTCAACCTGGGCACGAGGGGATGCCTGTGAATTTTAGACTCAACCTGGTTCATCCTCAAGACCCAGAAGTTCCCAGGGATGGGGTAGGTGGTGGTGGGAGTGGGTTTAAGCCAGAGTGGCATTCGTTTTTGAGAACCTGTGACCCCACGGAATTCCAGGGCTCTTGCAGGGCGTGTGGAGTGTTCCAGAGTTGTGCCCACTGGCAGTACACTGACCATGCTTGTGGGGAGCCCTGCTCGCCCCCGCAGCCCAGCACCCCCCCCCGCTGTGCTCAACCTGTGAGGCAGGGCTGGAGCTGTCTCGCTCCACAGGGGCAGAGCCTGCTGGGCTCAGCTCGGGGCTCCCTGCCCAATGGGGGACGACTGCAGGTGCGGCCACGCTCACGGCCCTTGGGGGAGGCGGGGTAACCCCCCAAGAGCAGCAGGTGGCATCCCATGTTACTCCCTGGCCTGGACTAGTACTGGCCTCGCCAACCTCTCAGGAACCCAGAGGTGGGGAGGAGGCCTGGGGAGGGCAGGGATGGGGTTCAGCTGCCATACCCACCTGAGTAGCAGTTGGACAGGGACAGGATGAGGGTCAGGTGGCCGAGAACCTTCCCCTTTGCCAGGCCGTGGCCTTCTGCCACAGGGCCAGGGAGCAGCTGCTACATCCTGGGTAACTTTTGTGTCTTTTATTGCCAAGTTCAAATTTACAAAGAAGTTCCAGTTTTCATGTCCGCCCTTGTGCTCAGTACCCACGAAGCCTGAGTCACGCTGTGAAAGCAGGTACTTCCCGAGGACAACCCGAGGCTCAGAGCACGCCGCTTCCCCGCCCAGTCCTCCCGGGACAAGAACTGTTCACACAGCTTCAGCCTAGAGGAACTGAAGACACAGTGTGCGTCCAGCATCAACGCGGCTACGTTAAACATCTCAGATTTATTGCATCTAGAAAAGATCGGACTCAGCCCAGCCCTGCCTTTTTCACACAGTGCGTCTCAGGGCCCTCGGGGCCATCTAGCGCGCTTCTTCACCTGGTGGTGCCAGGCTCTGGGCTGGGGGAGGCTGTGGCTGGCGCTGCTCACCAGTCTCTGCCCTGGTAGGAGAGGTGCCCTTGCATGCTCAGGCCTCAGAGTGGAGAGGGACAGGCACGTCCCCATGACGACTCTTGAAGCCGAGGCCTAGGAGCTCCAGTGGCACACCCTGCTCCCGAACTAGGCAAACCCAGTGGCCCCAACAGTGGACCCGAGAGGGTGGCCCAGGGTGCGGCTCTAAGTGCTCTCTGCAGGACTTGGAAACGGCAGGCTGGTGGGCTTTTGGAGGCTGTCCTCAGACCTCTGACTCTGACCCTTGGTGTGTGTCAGAGGCCCCGGCCCCCGCTGTGGGCTCTCCCTCTCACTGGCCGACGACAGACCCAATGTGCTCTGCCTGGAAAGGCCTGACGGGGAATGCCCCCGCTGCTGGGGACAGCTGTGCCCACCCCACCACGCCAGCAAGATCTGGGTGGGGCTGGCTCCTCCTTCTGGATTCCCAGACCTCCTAGCATGAAGGCCAGCCGAGAGTCTGGGAGCCCCCGCCCCACACCCTTGAGGCAAGCCCCTGGCCAGGACTGTCCCGGGTCAGGAGTGCAGGCTGGAAGCCCTGGCCTGATTGGCTGGTGCCTTTTACTCGACTGCAGGTCCTCCTGGGTCCAGCCCCGGCCCCAGACCTTTCTCACTTGCTCAGTGGTCCCCAGAGAACCTGGGGCCTCGCCTAGCTTACTGCAGCTGCGATTCGCGCCCCCAGTAAGAACGCTGGGCCGGTCACGCCTTCTGACTTCTGCCATCCCAAAGGCAGTCATTCCAAAACCAGAGGTATGCGGCTCTGGGGTTGGCCTGGCCGGGACGCACCAGGTCGGATCCTTGGTCCCCACCCCCCCACTCTAAAGGATCAAGCGGAGGACCTGCTGGCTGCTGGGGCACAGGTACCCGTGCCCGATGACAGGGTCCTTCTAACCCACTGACCGGCTTCCCCGAGGGCTCAGCTGACCATCACGGCTTGTCCTTCCCTGCCAGGCCCGGGGAATTCCTGCCTAAATGGCCTCCTCCCAAGCTGGGTCTTTGCTCTGTTAAAGCCACAGGCCTGTGCCCGCAGCTGTGAAAGCCGGCTGGGCAGACTGCCCAAGGGCTCCTGATGGCCGGACAGCCGTGCCCCACCCCCTCAGAAGGAGCGTTACACTGCAGTGACCTTGGCAGGGCCTGGCGGGACAGCTGGTGTGGCAGAGGCCACAGGACCACATTCCTCTAGGGGGTGGATGGTGGGGTCTCTGAGCATCTCGGGCCCCCCTCACAGCCAAGCTTTGGGGACACGGACACTGTGTGTGTTCACACTCCTGGGGGGCATGGGGGGCATGCCTGGAGAGTTGTTGGGGGTCTACCATGCCCAGAGAGGTGAGCGGCTGCTTAGCCGTCTGCCTACCAAGGCATCTGCGTAGCGCTGGACAGGACATGTCCCTGTCCTTCCCTGCCGCGCCCCGTCCCAGTGGAGCCAGAACGGTGGGCTTTGCTGTGAGGCAGGCTCGTGTCCCGGCCCGGCAGCAGAGACAAGGACGGTCAGGCTCAGGCTCCAGGCCCTGCCCTGTGGTGGGCTGACACTGGCTCTTGTGGTCTCATTCTGGAAACACAGTGGGGCTGGGGCAGGCAATGCCGGGCCCCCGTGCCTCACTACCATCGTGCCGCCGAGTCTGGAGGCTTCGCAGTCTCCGGTGGTCTTCTTAGACAGACAGGTGACGATGGTAGAGGAAGCTGGGAACCTGCTAGGCTTCGTGTGGAGATGGCGAATGCGTCCTGAGCGGGGCTGGCTGCACCGGCCCCTGTGCCCCGCATGGGGAGGTCACATTCAGGGGTTGGGGGCCTCCCGGCTGCCGTGACACGAACTTTGAACCCGCTCAGCTCCGTGTACTGAGAATATGAGTATCCCTCATCGTTGCTTAGAAAAGAAGCCAAGCACTCCCGGCAGGTACTTCATCACTCCCCAGGCCTGCTCGGTCCGTGACACGGAAACAAGATGCAGTGAAGGAGACGGAGCCACGCGGAGCGTCCATGGCGGAGCATCAGGAGCTCGAGGGAAAGGAGAGTGAAGTCCGGGCAGCGCAGTCACCCCTGCAACAGGACAGCAGCCCCAAGGGGGGGGGCATCTGCTTGTCTGTCTTTTTAAATAGATGCTTTTAAAATAAATGCTTTCACCTGCTACTAAAAGCGGAAATAAATAGCTGAAGGAGATGTTTATCCAAGTTTGCATTTTTACAAATCTCTACCCACTGTGTAGGTAGGACTATGTCCTGCTCTTCTCTGCACATGGTGATGGTGACAGAGGCAGCCATCGATGTCCCGTGTCTCCTGGGGCGTCTCTGCAGCTGGCCTGCTCTTACAGACATGGAAAAGGCATTCACACGGAGTGTGGTCTTTCTGTGACTCAAGGAAGCACAGGGCCAGGGGACCAAGATGGTCGCTGGGCCATGGAGAAGCGTGGGTGCGCCTACGCTGGGTCCCTGCCGGCGGGCCGCACACACCCAGGACAGCCTGATGCGGACTCAGTTGTCAGTAGGGCCCACAGGCTCGGCACGCACAGCCTCATGGTCCGAGGTCCCTGTGCACGCTGCAGCTGGTGGGGGAGGTGGGGGACGGCCAGTGAGGGCTCGGAGGCTGTGGGGGTCCACCGGGGGCACGAGGGTGAGGGCCTCGACGCTCAGCGTGTCGGCAGTGTCTTCACAGAGCAGGGAGATGGTGGGCTGCTGGGCGGGGACGAGGCTGGGGGACAGGTTGGCTGTCTCCACCTCTGCACTCCTGGCTGAGCTCTTGACGGGCTTGGCGTCGCCTTCTGTTTCATTGACGATCACCAACTGGTCAGAAAGGTGAGGCAGGGGCTGTTCTGGAGTCGGGGCAACTGCGTGGGGAGAGAAGAAACAGAGGCACGCTTAGCTGGGGGGGGGCTCTCTGCTCCTGCTGGTGCCCTCTATCCCCATCCTGAGCCGAGGCCCAGGGAAATCGGGGCAGGAGGTGGCTAGTGGGGCATGGCCTGGTTCTACCTTCTCAGAAGCTGCTAAATCAGCCTTGCCCAGGCCCAGGGTTACCCTGCCTTGGGAGATGAAGGACGAACTAGGGCCGTGAGACTCAGCATGGAACGATGGAAGCCCAGCTCCGTGCAGAGACCCGGCCCACACAGTGCCACTGGGAGTCTTGGACATGTGCTCAGTGCTGAGCACTTATTTAGGGAGCGGAGGGGCTCAGGGGTGCAAGCAGAGGGGATCAGGCCATTCCCGGAGTCTACATTTGGTGACATTTACCTAGGAGGGAACCCACTGCAATACCAAAATAAAATAAAGCAAAACAAACCAAAACGAAACGAAACAAAAAGGAATTGCTGCGGAGCTGTAGGGCTTTTCAGCTAGCAAAACTAAAACCAAAGCCTGGACCGCGGCATCCCTCGTCCTCCTCCGGTGCTGAGTTAGCACCACCCTCTCGGGCTGTGACCCCTAGGCGGTTACCATCCTGAGCCTCCCGCATGGCGAGCTCCACCTGAGGCAGAGCTCTGGCGGGGTGGTTTTTTGTTTTTGTTTTATCCTCCCTCTAAATTCCTTGATTAGATGACAGGCTGATGACAGCCTGTTTGCTTTCCAATGACGAGTTTTCCTGGGCAGAAACCCCGGATGTGACTACGGCCCATCGTGGACATCTTCCAGGGCTCCAGACGCTGGTCATCTGAAACACTGATAAGAAGGGGCGGGCAGCACGCTTGGAAAGCGAGTTTCTTACTTATTCGGTCTTGGGGTCAACAGGCCACTCGGCAGACGGTGCTGTGTTGAGCTGCGAGGTCAGGAGCACGCTGGGCCCCAGAGCACCATGAAAGAAGTTTAACAAAATTTCTATGTGATTCCAGTTTAGTTTTTTTTTTTCTTTTTCCTCTTTTAAACCAAAATAAAGCAGAATGACAAACTGAACATAGAGCAAAAGAATGGGAAAATAAGGAGCAAATGAAAAGCCGACAGCGGACGGAACGGGACGAGGGGGAGGCGGCGATCCCCGCCCAAGCGAGCGAGCGCGAGCCACAGCCTGGCCCAGGGAGAGCACGCACCAGCACCAGCGCTGCTGCCTCGGCCTTGGGCCGGACAGCGCCAAAGGTCTCGATTACCCTCCTCCCAAAGCCCTTTCTCGTTAAAAAAAGATACAAGACAATCAGAGCGAGAAAGAGGGTCCAGGGGAACTCCTGCATGAGGGTGGCCACAGGCACCAGTGAGTAGTGGAAAAAGTGAATCGAGGCGTGATCTGAGTCAGAAATGCTGAATAAGCAGCACGGCCCCACTCCGGGGTCTCTGAACTCCGACTCCCTCGCTCCACTCAGTAGGGACGCCTGTGCCCCGGCTGCTTCACTGGCGGTTCTCGGCACGGGCACACCTGTCCAGGGCGTCTGTGCACGCGGGTGTGTGCACATCGACGGGCGTGTGCACCACACAGGCCTGGCTGCTGCCGAGGGGGTTAAGAAGGGACTCCCTCCACGTGGCGCTCTCCTCCTGCCACGTGGAGACAGAGCACTTCCTTCTGGCTTTCTCAGAAGCCCTGGCTGCATTTGCATGCTGATACTCAAAAGAGCTGGCAGCCTTGGGGGGGCAGGGGTGAGAATAATCAAGGATGTGGGAAAATTTTTAGTCAAATATGTATTTTAAAAAGCAAACCAATTAACAGCGCTACACGCACAAAACTGGTTTCTTCTTTGGGAAAAGAACCAACCATTTTTATTAAAAGGGTTGGTTTTCACCTTAAAAAAGCCTCTATTTTACTAGGAAAAAATAGCCTCCTCTTAGCCATCACCGACAATACTGCCTTTAAAAAAAAATCAAAAACAAAAACAAAACCCTAGTAACTGCTTCCTGTCTGTGACCTCCAAATCTACCCACCCGAGGGCAGAAGGAGAGCTCTGTCAGGCTGTCCCGGGGAGAACTGCTCGGCAAGGACACATCTTCCTGGCTGAGTGCTGCGCTGCAGAGGTTATCACAGGGCCTTTAGCTCCCCGGACCTGCTGCTGGTGGTGGTGTACACCCACAGGTTGGGACCAGGCCTAGGAAATGAGGGCTTTGGAGTACGGTCCAACTTCCTGGCCCTGGGCTGGGGAGCTGAGCCAGGACCGTAGCAGGAAATCCGGGAAGCATGTGTCTCCGTGAGCGAAGGACGAGCCTCCCATGGTTCTGGTCCACGGGGACACGGAGGCAACGGGTCCCCCACGTGCCTGGCCAGCACTCTCAGGAGCTGCATTGCAGCTGCAGGCAGGGTCTTAACCCATCCTGCCACATTAGTGAGCTTCAGTAAAAATGTGGATCTGTGCTCAGACTGGGAAAGGCAGGGCGAGGGATGCAGGGACGCAGGGATGCGGGAAGGACAGGAGAGGACCTGCACGGCGAAGCTCAGAGGGGACAGCAGTAAACAAAACAGGAGGCTCCTGCTGACGCATGCAACTGCCAACGGGAGGGGACGCATCAGAGCCATAGGCCCAGTGGGAGAAGGCAGCAGCGGGGCTGAGTCCAGTGATGGGCTGCACGCACGGCCCACATGGCCGCACGCCCTGCGGAAACCTCAGCCGCAGCTGTGCACGCGCCAAGGGTGCAAAGGGAGATAATGGGGTCATGGTCACCAGTGCCCTTAAAAGGGAAATGACCTTTGTCCCAAGGCTGGAACCTGATCAAATTTGCCACTTAGCTTTGAGCAAGGCTAGGGAGTGTGGGAAATAAAAAATAAAACAGGTCCTTGGTCATGCTTTACAAATTCCCTATTCTCAACTGCAGCCCAACCTCCACGGCCTAAACCAGGGGACCCGTGGGGACGTGGAGGAGCTGCCAGGGTTGCATGGCCAGGTTTGGGGAGCCGACTCAGGTTTAGTGAGGGGCTGGGGGGGTTTGAGGCCACAAGGGGCCAGGAAGTGGCGGATCAGGGGTGTGCCGAGGAAACCCCATTGTGCCAGTGGCTTCTCGGCTCGTGGCCTGTCATCCTCTTAGGCTGAGCTGGGCTGCCTCACCCGAGCTGCCCGTGGCGACTGTGGGGACGCAGCGTGGCCAGTGGACATCGCGGGCACTTGGCGGCTCATCGGGGGGGGCCTCCTGAAG